GGGGGAAAAAAAAAAAAAAAAAAAAAGGGTATCAGTTAAAAAGAGCCGAGCAACTGACACCACTGTTTTGTGTAACAGGGTGCCCTCTTTCCTGCCCCGGGCCGTCCTCGGCAAAACCGGGACGTTGCACAAGGCATCGCACTCCTGGCAGCGGAGCGGGGAGGGCGATGAGTCAAATCTTCTGTCTGCCCCCCCCCCTTTTCTGTCTTTCTTAAGGTTTGTGTTGCAGGCAATAGGCTTTTCACAACCAGTTTTACGACCGTGTGACTCAACGTTTTGGGAGCAAGATAGTCGTCCTGCCTTTTCAGATCAGAAGCGGGAGTCACGGCGACTTTGGCAAACGCAAAATCAAGCCCCGCGGTTTCATTTTCTGGTAATTGTTTTACATATACACTTTTACAACACGATTCATCTTTAAAAGGATATTTAATGTTTTCACTGCCTTTTACAGGCAAATCATTTTATATTCTGCCTTGAAAAAGATCCTTGATGCCCTGAAGCGATGGGCACAACGGCAAAGACACACAGGACAGCATCTGTACTTAACGCCCTGTACTTTTAAGGCATCCAGTGCCACATTATTTAGCTATCAAAAATGAAAGTCCCATTCGGGCTGTATGACAATGGCTTAGTGACTACCACTCCAGGTCTGAATCAAACCCTATCAAGTCTGAAACATGTCCATGTGAGATTTGGGTTCTGGTCTCTGCTTCCCACCAAGAAACCAAGTGCCCTCCTCTCAACGCCAAGCCCCGTGCAGCTCCCCAGGCATGGTGGTTTTGGGGTCTTCCCAGCAGTCACACGGCTGAGGCACCCTTCGCCTTTGCCCACGCAATCGATCCAGTACATGAGTCTTGTATGTCAGCCATTAGTCAGGTCAAAAGGTCTTTTCTGCTCAGCTTCTCCCAGGGAATTGCTTTCATTATTTCCTCTCTTTCTTCCCTCTGCTGACAGACCAGCCTGCTCCTTCCCTAGCTGCAGAGATCTTTCCCAGAGAGACTGTGCTGCGGGAGTGAGGCAGGGGCTTCTCCTTGCGGGGTGCAGCAGTGAGCTCCACACTTACAGACTTTCCTGCGGGGGCCCAGGGGCTCCAGCATCGCACAGGCAGGCACACTGCACCCAGGTTTAGAGCTTCCTGCCGTCACAGACACTGGTCTTGCGGCATTCACAAAACCTTACAGTGTACTATTTTTATTATTTACCCTTTCCAGCTTGCATCATTACAGATGTGACTGTGCACTGAGGACCTTTTCCCTCACTGGAGATTTCAGTAGCTATGCCTGTGTGGGCTGGTGACATTTTCTGAACCTGTTTACACCTTAATCAGAAGTATACTCGTGACTGCTATTCACTGAACTGTTTTCTACTTTTTTTTTTTTTCTTTTAATTGAAAAGATGCGATCAAGTTCATTATTGAGATACACAGTTTCTGCTCCAAATCTCACCAAAGTCAGTGGCAGGTCACTGATGTTAGTAGGCTTCGGGTCAGACCCCTTATCTTTTTAAAAATCATTTTTCCTTCAAAGCATTTTGAGCCACAGAACAGTTGTAACTGGTGTTCTGTACAGAATAAGCTTCAGAGAGCCTGCTTCAAAATTCTCACATTAAGGAGCTGCTCAGTGTCTGCAATGCTTTGGTGTGATCAGAAAGAAAAGGAGCATATGAAGAAATTCAAAGATAAACTAGACAAGATAGCATAGCAAGAGGCCAAAGGTATTTCAGGATTCCCTTTGAGAAGCAAAGTGACATCTAAAGGGGTGAAGGTAAAAGAAGACATAGAGAAATAAGGTCAGTGTTGAATGTGAAAGAGATATGAAGAGTTCCCTATGTGATATCAAAGTGTTTTTGTAAATCAGAGTAATGTGAACAGTCAGAAAGAATGATACCATGGAAGTTGCAATGTTTTTCATCAGCCTGTAACTTAATATACTTATCAAGGCAAATAAATGAAAATATTTTTTAAAATGTACTTTCTGTTTTCACAGCCCTTTAAATAATTTTGGATGAAATCTAACAGCTGTGGTTAATGGCTCTGGAAACTGCAGTTCTGTTTCCACAGAACACCAGTAAAATACACATCGTTCCCAGGTGGAGAGAGATAAATTCAGTTGCCTGCTCATTCATTTTTAACTGTTCTGATGAGACTGCCAAAGAAATTTCCATTTGTGGTGACGATTTTGAAAAGTTAGTATTTGCTGATTAAACCAAATTATTTCCCAAAGCCATCCCACGGCCACTAAGATCTGATGCAAAAATAGGCAATTTGGGCATCAGGAAAGTCTGGAGAAGCACCAGTCTGGGCAACAAATTTGCTGGAAGATATATTTTTTAAAGTATGTTCCTGCCACCCATGATCTGCAGCGCAAATGCCAAGTGTCATCTACTGAATCAAGGCAGCTTCAGCACAGGCTTCCTCTGAGGCCATTCTAACGGGTAAAAGAAATATTTCCTTGCCAGGCTTTGGGGCATCTCTCTACCCTGGAAGCCATCACCTACCAGGGGGCTGGAAGGAGGGGCTGAGCAATGAATGTTACACCCTGTCCTTCTCGGGAAGCGGGGGGAAGCTGAGCCTGAGGTCAGAAGGGTAAAACCAACAGGCCGCCGAGCCCATCTCTGAGTCTGACCCTGGCTGCAGATCCAAGACGCAGCCGCGGCAGGCAGCTCTCAGGCAAACGCTGAAGGAGATGGCCAGTGCTCCCAGGTGAGGAGAGCAGCAACGGCCATGCCGGGCCGGGCCAGGGGCAGGAGGGGCCCAGAATCACGGAATCATCAAGGTTGGAAAAACCCTTTAAAGATAATCTACTCCAACCATTAATCGAACACTGACAGTTCCCAACTACACCATGTCCCTCAGCGCTATGTCGACCCGACTCTTAAACACCCCCAGGGATGGGGACTCCACCAAAGCACGGTGGGGTGTTAGCCAAGGCAGTTACTTCATTTTAAGATCCTTAAAATCCAGGTGACAATTTGTGATCGAGCAGCCGGATAACACGACACCGAGGGAGACGGGACGCCCATCGGCTGCCGCGCTTCTCCGCGCAGAGGCGGGGGAGTACACGGCGGGGCTGAGCCTTGGGAGGGGCCGCGCCGGCGCCCTTCACCTGCCGGCGGTAGCGCCAGGCTACGGGCTGGCCGGAGGGCGGCGAGAGCCTGAGCTCGCCCCGCCTG